CTGTCGCCCCGCGCCGCCGCCGCCGCTCTCGCAGCTGGACCACCGCTGCCGGAGCCGGACAATGCCCCCGGCCCGCCTCGCGCTGCCGCCACCAATAGCCGCTCGTGTTGTTTATTTGAACCTTGGCGGTGGACCAATCGAACGCTTCCTTCTAGCCAGAACTCCGCCCTCTCGGCACCGCCTCCCCAACGGCTGTTTGTTTTTGCACACGGCACTTGGAGGCGGGACCTCCAACCCCAACATTGACGCGCTCTCCGCCTCTCTCCTGCCGCGGAGTCTGATGAACAGAAGAACGAACCAATGGGAGAGAAGAAAAGCCAATGAAAACATTGCCGGCCGCACCAGAGGCGGGAGTCTGGGAACAACAGTAGGATGAGCCAACGGGTCAGTGTGATTCGGCGCAGCTGTGCTTTCCCGCCTGTGCACGAGCCCGCTAGGTCTTCTTGGTTTGCTTTGTTTTTCTTCTGTTACTAGAAGTTTCGGGGAACTGTCCCAGAAGCACGAAAGGAAAGTCTAAATAGCTTCGTGCGGAAGCTATTGTGAAAACTTAGGAATATGTGTGACTCGCACCGGCACGGTAGTAAAATTCTCTAGCTATCGTTGGCCCGTTCATACAACTTTAAAACGCTTCATTGTTTTTGTGATGATCATTGAACCCGGGCGATTTGGGAGACCTACATCCGTCCGTTTCTCAACTGAAGAAATGAGCTTAGGAGAACGTAGTCATTTGCATACAGCCCATCAGAGTTCTTAGGACTTCGTTCTGGTTTCTGCTTCCAAAGCTATATTCTTTTCACTGTGGGAAGCCCAGACTAGTCCTAGGAATTAATTGTGAACAAAATAATTCTCTACTCTTTTGTTTTGTTTTGAGACTTCGTTCTTACGGTTCGGTTTTCCCAAGCCAGTGTATTTAGAAAATTTCCTCCAGATAGATGGTATCTGTACCCAAATTTGAATTACGTTTCTTTTGACAGTTAACCTCCATCAGAAACAGTAACCTGGGAGAAGTGAGGCTTTCCGGAAAAAATAATTTGAATTCTAGACGAGGAAGGAACGAGCTTCTAAATGACTTTGGGAAACCAAGATGAAGATAAGAAAAAGAGTGAGAAGGGGGGCCAATGAAATCGGAATAAATGCAATGATGTGCTCAGATAATAGAATTGGGTTCGAGTTCGGAGTTAGTTCAGTAGACAGTACCCAGTTAACTCCTACTCCTTTGTGTTTCAGGGCATAATTGAATGATAATATTGGTCTACTAGGGAAAGTCGTTACCAGTGTACCAAGACATAAGCCAGTTATCTTTCTACAAAGACAGAATCCAAATCATTAGCACGGTATTGAAAGCCCTGACCCCTGCTCACCTTGTCTCTTATCACTTCCCCAACACCCTAACTCCATCTTGCCTTTGTATGTGTTTTTGCTTTTTCTTAAAGCAATCCTCTGTCTTTCCTCTTTTATTCATCTTTTAAGAGTAAACACAACCAGACGTGGTGGGACACACCTGTAATCTTCGTGTTCGGTGGTAGGCTGAGGCAAATATCAAGGTCAGCTTGGGCTACGTGCAAAGACCCTGTCTCCAGGAAAAAGGAAAGGGTTCATTGAAGACATTTTCTAGAATATTTTCTGTTGACCTAATCTGAGATGAGTGTCCTTCTGCATGGCTGTGGCATGCATTATATACTGTAAGGGTCTCCCTCGGAGCATAGAATTTTTTTATTTTATTTTTTTTTGCCTAGTATTCTAGAAATGTTAGTTGGCAAATTAAATAAAAAACATTTAAATCAATCACTAAGATAATGTCACCTATGGAAAGATCTGACTGACTTGCAGCCATGTGGTTTATGTACAGTATTTCATGTCACCAAGCCTATTTCTGCTGTTAGTAAAACTGAAAATAGCACCTATCTTTCTTCAAGGATTGTGTGTGTGTGTCTGCCCACGTGTGTCCTCGTGCATGGGTCCGTCCGTATGAGTGCCTGTGCACACGCGTGGTGGTCAGAGGAGGCTGTCAGGTGTCCAACTTTATCTCCCTCCACTTTATTCCCTTGAGACATGGTCTCTCATTGAACCTGAAGCTTGTCATTGTGGCTTGCCAGCAAGCTCCCAGGACCTATCTCTGGATTCAGTTCTGGGGTCACAGGCATATGTGGCCAGTGTTACACCTTTTGGCTTTGTAACTGAAATCCTTGGCATTGAACTTTTGCTTCCCTGGACTCTTCCAGTGCTCAGGGCTTGTAGTTTCTCTTCTGTGGCTCCTTGCAGCCTTTATACCCTCTTCAGTCTCAGCTCTCTGCCCTCACTCTCTGTCCTTCCTGCCATGGCCTCTCTTGAGCTGTTTAGCTGCTGCCTTGGTTGTTGAATAGCTGGCAGCCTTGTTTAGATTAGCCTCTCCCTGCTAAACTGCTCTGCTCCCCTCTCCTCTTCTCTCTCCTCTCTCTCTTTTGAGATAAGGCCAGGAACTTGCTGGGTAGCCCTAGTTGACCTCAAAGTAATAGAAATCATACAAAATATGGGTGAAAAATTAGTAAAATAACATCAAAATCCTCACTTATTGAAGTTACTGGTGAGGAAATCTTAAAATTCATGCACAAATGCAAGAGAATTAGAATAACTAAAATTATCTTGAGAAAGAACCAAATTGGAGGATATACACTTCTTAATTCCAAAACAGACTACAAAACTATAGTAACCAAGTATGTTCTAGCAAAATGATAAACCGGTGGGCCAGAGTTTGGAAATGAACCCACCTGTTCATGTAGGTTGCTCATTTGGCAAGCGTGCCAACACAGTTTAGCAAGGGAGAAGGCAGTCTTCAATAGATGATACCTGAACCTCTAAGTAAAATGTGTGTAGCATGATTTCTATTTGGTCTTAATAATAAAAACCTGGAGTCAGATATTAGGGGGTGAAAGCTGAAAGATCAGAGAAGCAGAGCAGCCAGCTACTAGTTCTTACCTCTATGAACCCTCAGACCAAATGGGGTATCCTATTTCTACAAGTCCGCAGACTGAATGCCTTTCTCTGAAACCTCAGATTGAATCCATGAGCTCCTGTCTCTTCCCACCTTTCATTCCTCTCTCCACCTAGGTAAACCCCTTCCTGTCTCTACTTCCCTAGTGCTGGGGTTAAAGGTGTGAGCCACCATGGCCTAACTCTGATCTTCCTTTAGACTGGATCGATCTTGCATAGCCCAGGGTGGCTTTGAACTCACAGAGATCTGTCTGCCTCTGCCTCCTAAGTGCTGGGGTTAAAGTGTGTGCCACCACTGCCTGGCCTCTATAGCTAACTAGTGGCTAGCTCTGCATTCTGATCATCAGGCAAGTTTTATTTGTTAAAGCACAAACAAAATATCACCACAAATAATACATAACATGCAGGCAAAACATTCCTAAACATAAAATAAAAAATATAATTTTAAGTGAGAAAAACACAAAGCCAATGTTAAAGAATAGGTAACCAAACTCATTTATTTGTGAGTTTCAGGTTAGCTCTTAAGGACAATAGGATATTTTTTGATATATTTGTGTTGTGGACTATTAAGCATTAAGCAAGTATTTTTGTTTTGTTTTGTTTTGTTTTTCAAGACAGGGTTTCTCTGTGAAACAGCCGTGGCTGTTCTGGAACTCACTTTGTATACCAGGCTGGTCTCGAACTCATACCAATCTGTCTGTTTCTGACTCCCAAGTGCTGGGATTAAAGGCATGCTCCTCCACTGCCCAGCTGACATTAAGCAACTTATAAAAACATGAATACACAGTGACTGGGGAAATGGCTTAGTGAGTAGCATGCTTTGCAAGCATGATATCTTGCATTTAGATTCCTGTACTCAAAAAGTCAGACATGAGCCAGACAGAGGTGGTCCTCACCTTTAATCCCAGCAACTGGGAGGCAGAGGCAGGTGAATCTCTGTGAGATAGAGGCCAGTCTGGTCCAGAGAGCATGTAGCCAGGGTTAAAGAAACCCTGTCTCAAAAAGCAAAAACAAATAACGCCCCCAACAGAGGCAGACATGGAGCACATAAACACACATTTGTAAAACAAATACTGGGAAGCTGAGGCAGAATTCCAGGCAGTTTCTGGCTAGTCGGTCTGACCAATGGGTGAGCTTCAGGTTTGGTGGCAGAAACTTGCTTCAAAAATAAAGTAGATACATAGACACAAATATACATGTAACAGTGCTAGGTGACTGACGAGAAAGGTAAATGTGTTTCATGTTTCACACACCAATGCAGCAGGGTTTGTATAACCATGTGACTTCATGGTTGTGATCTCAAAGGAACTTCTCCCTTACATTTTTTTTTTCAGTTAATGTAAGAAAAGTCTGAGTCTCTAAACCTATTTGTTACCGGGCGATGGTGGCACACACCTTTAATTCCAGCTCTTGGGAGGCAAAGGCAGGCAGATCTCTGTGAGTTTGAGGTCAGCCTGGTATACACAGAGAGAGTTCCAGAATAGCCAGAGCTGTTTCACAGAGAAACCCTGTCTCAACAAACCAAACAACAACAACAAAAAGTGTTAAAGATTAAAGGGGGCTGGAGAGATTGCTCAGTGGTTAGAGGACCCAGGTTCAATTTCCTGCACTTACATGGCAGCTTGTAACTGTAACTCTAGTTCTAGAGAGCGGTTCTGGCCTTTATGGGCACTGCACACACATGATGCACTGTACATACATGCAGGCAAAACACACATACACATAAATAAGAAACTAGTCATTCAATGCTGTGTAGACTTATTTTCAAAGACTCAAAACAATCCTAGATAGAGTGATGGGCAGCAAAGAGTAACAAGTGGCCACCTGCACACTTGTGGTTCACATCTACTTTATCACAATGTGTAGAAGGGTTGAATTCTAAAGCATATTAAAATTTGATAGCTCCCCCATCTTGTTAGAATAGTGAAGCACATGCACACATGTTGTAAATCATGTACAGTGCACCCACTTCCAGTTCCAGAGTATCCTGCACTCTCCTCTGACCCCCTTGGGTATCAGGCACACAGGTGGCGTATATACATACATGAAGGCAAATTATTCATGCACATAAAATAAAAATCAATGAAAAAACCTTAGTTTATGAAGTGATTTGTAAGTGCACTTCCTTATTAATTAAAACATGGTCTATGGGCAAAGAGTCTTCAAAGTCATTACCAAGGCTTTTTTTCTTTAAGACAGGTTCTTTCTATGTTTCCCTGGTTGTCTTGTGATGTGGGAGTCCCCTCTGCATGTTATGATTACTATTAATGAATAAAGAGCTGCTTTCAGCCTATAGCAGAGCAGAGAAAGGCAGAGCAGAGCTAGGTGGGGAGGACTGGACTGAATGCTGGGAGAAAGTAGGGCGGAGTCAGGGTGACACCATGGATCTGCCACTGGAGATAGAGGTGCTGAAACTTTGCTGGTAGGCCACTACCTCATGGTGATACACAGATTACTAGAAATGGGTTAAACTAAGATGTGAGAGTTAGCCAATAAGAAATTAGAGCTAATGGGCCAAGCAGTGTTTTAATTAATACAGTTTCTGTGTGATTATTTTTGTTCTGGGTGGAGCCAGCATCCAGAGCAGCTGCAGCCAAGATGTTTACCATTTTTAAAGCTCTTCAAGACAGTAAAGAATTACAGATATGCAATAAAGATAAATCCAGATGAGTCATAGTGTTGGATAAATGTACATAGGCTTGGAAGAGAGAAGAAAAAGAGTATAGAGAGTCATAAAATAAAGTTAATGCTGAAAAAATGGGTGAAGTCTTTAAAGAGACAGAGTACAGATAGTCATAGATTAAAAGGAGTAAAGAAAAATAAGCCATGTAAAAATGGAAAATTCACAGAGCATCTGGATTATATGTATTATTATGTTCTCTTTGAATTGCTTGACAGCTGAGGAAGGCTCAACAACTGCTAAAAGACATTTGAATATAAAGGCTGATGGATTAATAAAACATAAATATTTTATAAATGCCTTGACTTCAAAATTGAAGTAAAAAGATTATGTTACTTTGGAGAAGAGGTTTTACTTTTGTTTCCACAGAAAATGTGATGCTACAGGTTTATCCTGGGCTAGGAAAAATAAGGTTTGATCAACGAAGACCCCCTGGAAATTGCCAATATAAGTGGATGACCCAGATGTCTGAGTTCTACATCCAAAACAGCCTCAAGACTGCTGGCT